TATAATAAGGGGGTCCCCGCTCCATCTTGCCATCAGTTTGGGGGTCGTTGGCATGGAAAACATTGAAGACCCCTGAGGTAGAACATTGATAAACAGCTTCATCAGCTCCTTCTCTGTTATCTTCATGTTTCTTTTACTACAATTTTTTTTTCCGGAAATGAACGGAGCTGTCATATCCCTCATGCCACCTAATTAGCAACAGCTGAGTTGGTTTGGGTTCTTGCTCACTTGTCTGACCAACAGCCGCCTGCACAGATTCCTCATTCTGATCAGGAAGCCAAATCCGGGAGCCCCTCGGCCGTTTCAAGCTTCTTCCAGTTTCAAACAATCAAAACCTAAAGGTTTCTCAGGATGTTCAGTTTTTGCACACTTCCCCTAAGTTTGCACTTTGACACAAACAGTCCTGTAAGTCTAAACCCTTTTCTTTTTATTTATTTATCTGGTTTTTTTTTCTGATGTTTCCTGTCTGAACATTCAAATTTACCAAATAAAAGTTTCCATAAAGAGGAGGAGACGTCTGAAACATGATCTGTGGAAACAGGATTTAAATCATGTAAATATGAATGCACATTATGGAGGCATTGTTTGTTGTATTTTGATCCATTTGAACCCATTTTGGAGTAACCAATTGCTGAAAATTTAAGGAGCAGATTCTTTATAATCTTTTAGATAGCTTTCACTGGAAAAACGACCTATAAATAAGTAAAAATGTCTTAAATTAAGTGTATTTATCCTTAATTTGAGTAGGTAAATGAGGTAGTTGGCCAATGGAATGGTTATTTTTACTCTTAAAATAAGATAATTAGATAATATGCACATGAAATAAGACAATGCAATTGTGTTTTCTTATTTTAAGTGTAAATTGTCTTGTTCCATTAGCAAAATGTCTCTTTTACCTCCTTAATCCAAGAAAAAATGCACTTATTTAAAGAAAAAATTACTTATCTAGATTTCGATTTTTTCCAGTGTTCAATTCAGTCACACATTCAATTTCCTTCTTATTACAATAAAAACAACCAAAGTTATCTATTTAAAGGCCCACATTAATTTCATCAACTCTCAATATACTTTTGATGCTAATTAACCCCTTAAGCCCCGAGGGTCTTAGGAGCAAATTTCGTCCTAAATTAAAAAATATGTAAATTAAAGCCAGTCCAGGTACCAAACTACAAATTGGAAATGCATTTGTTTGTATTTGTGTGACAAAAAGGCATTGAGGAATATTTTTCAGGTGGAACCACTATTTTAAATGTCACCATGTCTGATTTATAGGTGATTAAACAAAGAAAAAATTAAATATATTTAGCCTCACCCAACTTTTTTTTCCTAAATAAAAACTGCAAAAAACCATGAAACCCCATTTAAACTCTGCATGAACCCTCAGACTTTATAGATCCACATCTTGACTATAAGTCAAGTGAATTTGGACTGAATAAGTTGAAGCATGTTTGTTCCAATAAGGTTTTAGTGGGCAGGTTGCTAGGCAGAAATGGGATTTTGTCACAATGTCAAAAGTGGCAAAATTGTGCAAAAATGCATTTTTCCACTCATAAAAGGGAATCTGGTCAGACAAATGTGCTGATTGAAAATATTGTAGACCTTCTTCATAAGGAAAAGCCGTTGCTCCTAA